GAGCCAGGAGGGGTCCTGAGTGGGTTGCCAAGAACTCTGTCTTTTCTGGGGAATTTTACAGAGCAAAACTATGAGGTGAGGGGGGTGCAAAATGGGGACTGTCATAAAATGGGGACTCACAGGGCAGACAGGCATAAGGTGGGACAGAACTACGGTCAACCAGTAAGGTTAATTGTTCAGGTAAGACTGACCAAATCAGGGGGACAAATGGAGCAGTGACTCTTCTTGTGGGGGGCTGGGATGGTGACCCCTGGCTTCCTCGCGGTGATCCATATCTGTTTAGAATATCAGCCCCTGATGTTTAGGCTTTGGGTGTGGTTGTATTTGTTTTGCTTTTTGTTTTGAGATCTGGCCCTTAGCAGAGGTGTCTGTCTCCTCCAAGGTCCAAGGTGTCTGGTCTCCTGCACTGGCTCTTTTGAGGGCCCAGCCCTGTCTGACTGCCTATAATATTTCTGATTAACCCAGCTGCCTGTAACAGTATCACAGCCTAAAAACTCCAGGTAATTTGAAGAATGCTGATGCCCGATAAAAAGCAAAGAGACACAGTAGTCAGTAAAAATTTTGATGCTTCCACCTTCTATTACCATCTTCTTGATATGAAGAAATTGTCTGCACGCTCAGGTTGGCTCTTGCTTCACTCTAGAATACAGAATATCCAGCGAAGATTGTGGGGCTTTGAAGGTGGGCACTTTCTCAAGAAGACATGCTGTCAGTGCTCTTTCCTAGAATCTGGCGAGGCTCTGTGACTGCTGGAGTCAAGAAACCACAGCAGGTGTGCAACACTGGGGTGTTTCGAGGTGAGGAGATTGGCAGCTTTTACACCCCGGGTCTTGCATTCTCTCTCTTGAACTCCAGCTTCTGGGCAGCAGGTTCCGGGTATGAGATCCACCTGGAGATCACAGGCGTGCTGGGAAGACCTTCTGGGTTCCCTTCTGCTCATCCCGGCCCAGACCCACGACCACCCATCCATCCTCAAGGAATCATCTTGGACCTTCTCATGCTGACAAACAGAGAAGAACAAAGACCATGCACCGAGGGTCTCAGTCTAACTGTCCCAGCAGTCCCCAGCTTGGTGAGGCCCCCAGCTGTGTTCACGAATGGCATGAATGGAACACAGCTCTACCTGCTGTGATCTGGACTCACCTGCGTGGATCTGGTCATCATCTCAATTCGGATGGTGGCTCCGAGGGGTGTGAATTTCTGTGCTTATCACACTGCATACCTCTCTATGTGCCAATTTATTGTGTCAACATCAATAAAGCTGTTAACTTTTTCTACTAAAAATGGTTGCTATTTTACACTACTAAATTTTCATTTGGTTTGTAATATGTAATTTTAATTTTCATTTGGTTTCTATGTGTAATTTTCAAAAATGTTATTAAAACACACACAAATAGTCTATGAAAGTTTACAAGGCGTATGTTAACTATTCTTTTGATATTCAATTTGTTTTCATTATATGTTTATGTAATCCATGGTGTAAAATAATTAAATGAGTCTTCTAAAAAAATCGCATTGTAAATCATTATTGGTAGTACTGGTATTATTTTTAACTTGAATGGCTTTCTCATCAGAACAAATTCTGTATGTGCATATATTGACTTGTACATTCTTCGATCCAATATATTAGACATTCCATAAGTTTTTGCCCAAAACAAGAAATATGGAATAGAATGTCAATTAGAAATCTGCTCTTTTGTCTTAATCTTTACGTAGATCACCTTAATTAAGACATAGACAGAGAGATTACAAATCAATAAATATTTAAAAATTAGCAATCAATCCTTCATAGTAATTTATGCTTTTAAAATATCAAGCATATAAAAAAAAAGAAAAAGAAGACATTCTTGGTACCATTGTAATCCACTTAATGAAGTAGATAATCCCTAGACTAGAGGAAAATTACATTAAGATGATTTTTTCTCAGTTAAAAGTTAGTATTTTATAATATGACCTGACCAAATTCTTAAGGGCCTTTGTCATCTTACTAGATATTCTCACTTCTTTTCCATTGTTGATGTTAGATTATTGCTTCCTCCACTTACTTGCTAATTTATTAAAAGCACCACTGTCCCAGGTGGTAGGCACTTGGAGAAGAAAGTGTGTTACAGTTTAGGTCTGGAATGTCCCCAGGGGACATTTGTTTTTGAAGCTGGGTCTTTTGCACAGAGTGGGATCCTGGCATCCACAGTCCACCGGCCTCGCAGAAGGAAGGATTGCCACAATCTCCATGGAAGTGGCCTGGAAGCCTGTACAGGGTTCTTGCTCCCAGCTCCTCCCTCCTCCCCGGCTGCCAGAATCTGGGTGGCTTTCCTCAGCTGTGTCCCTCTACCCTGCTGCTGCTTCTTTCGGAGTCTGTCCATCATGGACTGCAACTCCAGAACCTTGAGCCTGAGTACCTCCCCTCCACCACTTCTTTTATATGGCAGGTGTATTTGTCTGTGATGAGAACAGTGGCTGAGTCTGCCGGTGGGTCCTGCTGTAGAAAACTCAAAACACTGTCCGTTTCTGTGACACACGCTTGATGATGACCGTGTTAACATTTCTCGACGTTGGCTGGGATGGTGGGTGGACCAACATGTTCTATTTAGGGTTCTGCTTTACCAAGTGCTAACACGTGTGTTGCAAGGGACTCGTGATTGCCGAGGCTCCTGGTGCTGGTACTTCTAGGCGTTTTTCTGAGTACACGGCATAAAATGTTTCGTAGCTAGATTTTGGTGACATTTAAATATAATTATGCTACAATAACTAGAGTAAGAAAAAATGTCACGTGTCTCGTGTGTCTGGAATTGCATACAGTGGGAAGCCTGGTGTGACAGTTAAAATTTAGAGATATACAAGCATGTATATGTAGATACCTCACAGACAAATAACACCGAAGATGCTCAACTCTGTTATACGAAGTGGAATCATTTTTGCATATGATCTACACATATCCTCCAGTAAACCTACTTGGCATCTTTTAAAATTGCAAATTATATAATTTACTATAGTGTAATTAATGCAGTGTAAAAGCTCTGTAAAGAGCTATATGCTTCATTGTTTTGGGAATAATGTCAAGAAAAGAGTCTGTGTTTCATACAAAGATAATACTTTTTCCAAATATTTTATATGCAGTTTCTTGAATCTTTTGCATACTGTTACTGTGGCACTTCGGAGCACTGAGCTGAAGGAAGAAAGGTAAGAGGTAGGAAAAACAAGACTTAGATCAGTTTCACTACTTCTGTGGGGAAGGATGGCCCCAGGAATTGAACTCGGGCCCTTTGCACTGAACTACATTCCCAGCCTTATTTTTTGTATTCTGAAACATGGTCTAAGTGGTCCAGAACAAACCTGAGCAGGCGATCTTCCTGCTTCAGCCTCCCAGAGTGCTGGGATTACAGCGTGTTCCAGCTCGGTTACCTATTTAAAAGCGTCCATCCTCAGCCACTATCCTTGTCATAAAGAAAGCAGAGAACTATCAAATGGCCTGCTGAAGGTCTTGCCCCTCACCTGAGTGCTTCAATCCTGCCTATCCTTAGTGAATGTGATGAGGTCCATGCATTTAACCGCTTCAGCATCTTTAAACGGAACCCTGCAGACTTAAAAATGTTCTACTTTTCCCCTTCTCGTACTTCCAAGAGCATACCATACCACCTAGCCACGAATTTGACTTCACTGAACCTGTATCAGGGACAGGAGCAAGATGACTTTGGAGACCACTTCTATGTGGATACCAGATGCCCGTTATCTTGGTGATGTGGAGTTAGAACCTGTCATCACTCCCGATTATATGAAGTGTGATTTCTGAATATTCCTATTCCAGTCCCAATGAGAACAGTGTTTCAAATCTTACCAAAGCGTTTGTGAAGAACTTTTTCATGAGAACTTTCTTTCCTAGAAAGAAACACAATCTATATACCCCAAATAGCAGGTTTCCCTTGAAAAGTTTATTTAGTTGTGTTTCTGAGACTCCAAATTTTGAACTTCTTGGTAAGGAAGGTACACTAGACAGACTTTCTAAATGCCAAATCTGTATCTCTGGGTGGGGAGGATGGGAGGGGGAGAGTCTGGCTTCTGGGAATTCATCACTGCTGTTTACCAGGCAGATCAAACTAGGGATATCACCACCTGTAAGTCTTAAGTATCAACAAAAGGAACTTGCAAGTATCTCTTGGATAATTATCTCGTTTTCACTTAAAGCATCCCAAATTGTGCAAGTATTCAGCAATGAAGATTGTTTATTCATTTGTGATAGTCCTACTACTAGGATAAAGGAAATGTGGGGACAAACACAATCCTACCCATTTTAGTAGGCCGCGTCCCTAGTTAGCAGCTTTTAAACACCGAGAAAACAAAGAAAATTCTATAGCAAATTTGTTGAAATTCGTATCTAACCTCTCAGGAGTATTTATTTTCCATGTTCAGAATGGAATTCTTGAAGTTAAAATAGTTCTCAAATTTAAATTCCCACCAGGAACTAGAAGATGTATACATTAAAAGCATTTTAAAATTCAGTTGGCTATGTGCCTGTTAAGCGCCTTCAGATAACTGGAAAGTGGGGGGGGGGGGGGAAGATGCTCAATTTGCATAACGAGACACTGCAGGCAAGATAAAAGCTAACAGGTGTTATCTGACCACTTCTTAAATTTTCAAAGCTGGCCTGAGCTGGGTTTCACTGTGCTCCTCTCTAAACTGCCAATCAAGGACCCAGAGTTCAGCGAATCTTACCCCACATCCTCAACTACAAGGCTGTTGATATTTGTATGAGGAAAAAATATAAATGAATCGTTCTGTTTTCCAGGGATCAAGTTCCACAGTTAACATTTTTAATTGACTGTTGACCAAATAACTTACCTTCACTGGACAGAATTTGATTATCCTAAATATAATTAATACCAAGCGAAGCGTCTAAATCTTTTAAACTCAGTAACAGTGCTTACTTTTAATACTTTCAATTTTTCTCTAAAACTTGTACTTAGAAATAAATTTTATAAAAAATCCTATTTTAGCAGGCTTGATTATATCAACTGGTAAAACTTTATTTTACAATAGGAATTGGATCAAATGATTATTATAATCCAGAGGAAGTATTTTATAACCATAGCAAATGCCATTTTACATACTGCCAATACAGATTTAATAGACAATACTGAACTATACAAGTTATTTTTCCTTAATCTCAAAGCTATTTTTAGTAGTACAAAAAGCCATATTAACATTTTCCATTAGAAAACAACATGATATACAAAACTTTGGATGAAAAGATATGTCAAATTTCATGTAATCACTTGGAGAAAAATCCACCACTCCACCAGTCCACCCAAAGTGTTTTAGGCAGTGATTAAAATCAAAATAATGCATCTTAATAAATTCCAGCTGTTAAGAGAACAAACCTAGTAATATATAATAATAATTTTGTACACAGTATTTCTGACTACTCGTTTTGGGAGTTATATTTTTTTTCTAAGTCCTTTTTAAAAAACCGAGTCCTACTACATACCAGGCAAACAGGTATTCATGAAGAAGTTGGTTAATGTGGGAAAGACCCATAAGTCAGTCCTTTGGTTAGCAAATTCCACTTTCAACTTTCACATATCCTCTAAGATCAAGAAACCCAAACGAAAAATACACACCCTTCCAGATTATGACTTTATTAATTGGGAGGGTACTTCATGAATGAAAAGAGCACGTCAAAAAGCCCTTTTCTATGGAGCTGAAGACCCACCATTCAGGTTTACAAGTGTATTTCACTGTTTGATCCCAGACCCTACAGGGCACATCACTCAAAACCAGAGAAATAGGTGGGTATGAACAAGTCTGCATTGAGCAAAGCAGATATTCGCTGTCCCCCAAAATTCAACTCAGTCTAGGGTCCAGTGAGGAAACCAATTCTGTTATGGAGTGGTAAAGAGCAGAGGAAGTAAACTAGTTTAAAATTATTAATATATAAGAAATTGTCTACAATAAAAAGACCCTAACACATGTTCATTTAAGGAAAAAAGGCCCATAAACTGAGGCTGTCCATTCAATACCATTACTTGTTACATAAGTCTGTTTTCTTCTGTCAAATCACAACATCTAAGCAACGGTTTGGAAATTAGCCAAGCGCTAAGCAATTACATGGGCAGGTAACACTATCAGCTTCTGAAGCGGCAATTGTCACCACTCATCTGCAGCCTGGATTCCCTGGACTCTCACACATTTTTAAGTTTCTGGACCTGCATGACAAGAAAATGACTTTACGGAGTATCCTCATAAGACATCTCTATAGTCTTAGGGTCATACCTTTTTTATCCTAAATGACTTAATCAGACATGCTATAGAGCACTACAATAAAAAATATTTATGCTCAGATTTAAAAGAAAACTAAATGCAGATCTGACACTGCTGATTATGGACTTCAGAACTTGAAAACTTCAGATCAAAAACCACAACCAAATTTACTTTTGGTGACATGCAAGATCTTCCTAAACATTAACCTAAGACCTGAAAGTCTTAGTTATTGTCAGGACATAAAGAAACACAACAGGTTTGTACATTTTATTCACATTTATTTTTCGCTTTTAGTGTGCTCACAGAAAATTAGAACACCTTAAGCAGGAGTTTAATAGCAATTTTTGTAAGCAAAGTTACATTCCATCTCTAAGTCAAATTGGTCAAAGCTTCTCCAGTATTTACAAAACATGATAGACAAGATGCTACACAAAACCATTGCATCTGAAGATTTTTTTCTCCTTTATTCTCAAAGACAGCATCGTCTGCTATAATCAAAAACATACCACAGTATAAACAGTAACCATTCCACTTATCACAGCTTGGTTGGGTTTTAAAATTTGTGTTTAAAAGGTCCCAGACGACTGCAGTTTTACAAAAATGGGCAGGGTGGAAAAAGTTGCAAACTTCATGTGCTTTTGGATATCAAGATTTGTTTTTATACAATAGTCACAGTTAAAAACACCCTGCTGGTAAAACATAATTACACTTTATTAAGGTCATAAACCAGCAATAAACAATAAAGCCTATACAACTTGTAGTTCTACCTAATCACTGACTGGTACAGCTAACATGAGATAAGTGAAAAGTTCCTATGGTTTAAATGAACTCCTAAGACTATGATCGTTTTTTATTTGTTTTTTAAAAAAATCTGGGTATTGGTGTTTTTTAATCTTTCCTTCTTGATCAAGACTTGTAGTGTTGTAAACCTGCCTCACAAAATACATCGTAATAACTTTTCTTAAGAAAAAAAACAAAAGACAGCCTTACACCATCGTTTCTAGTGGTACAGCATCTTGGCGACGTCCGTGCCACTCCCATTTCCCATGTGGCCCTCTCACTTCATGTGATATCCCTTTTGACCCACCCATCTCCTTCATATATGGGCATGTCCATAGATGGATAGAGAAAGTTTACATTTTTTGAATAAAGATGCAAAGAATGCAAAAAACATTAATACTGATGCAAAAAAAAAAAAAAAAAAAAAAAAACAACAAAAAACAAAACGAAACAAAAAAGGCAGAGGAAGGTGTCTAAGCGCTCCTCCACCTGTTGGAATGGTGGGAACAGAATGATCTGAGATGGGATCTGTGGGGAGAGGGAAAATAACAACAACGAAAAAAAAACCCTCAAAATTTGTTGCTTAAAAAAAAGGTAAAATTAAAAAAAAAAGACATCTTGAAAATCAATCCCTGGTTGTAGACAAGTTCTCCAAAACCAGTACCTGGCACCACTCCAACAAACAAACGGGGGAGAAAAGTTCTTCTTCGCTCGGCTCCTGGGGCCGCGCCTACTCGGCCGCCTCGGCGCCCGGGGCCTCCGGACTGCACTCGGGCTGGGGCTCCGCGGAGGGCGCTGCGCAGGCGGGCGAGGCCGCGGGCTCCTGGGCGGCCGCCGCCTCCGGCTCCGGCTCGGGCCCCGCGGCGGAGGGCGCCTCCCCGGGCCCGGCGGGCTCCTCGGCCTTCTTCTCCTCGGCCGGCCCGGGCTCCTCGGCTGCCGGGGGCGCCTCGGCCGCGGGCTGCTCGGGCTGCTCGGCCGCCTCCGCGGGCTGCGCTTCCTGCGCCGCGCCCGCCGCGCCCCCGTCGCCCGCCGCCGCCTCGGCCGCCTCTGCGCCCGGGGCCCCCGCCGGCTCCCCGGGAGCGACGCCCGGCTCGGCGGCCCCGGCGGCGGCCCCGTCGTCCTTGGCGGCGTCGGCGGCCGCGCCCTCCGCCTCAGCGCCCTCGGCCGCCTCCTTCTTGTTCTTCTTGAAGGAGAAGCCGCTCAGCTTGAAGGACTTCTTGAAGGAGAAGCGCTTCTTTTTTTTTTTCGGGGTCTCGTTGCTGGGCGAGGGCGCGGCGCCGTCCTCGGCCTTGGGCGACGACGTGGAGGACGCGGCGGACGCGGCCTCGGCCTCGGCGGCGGACGGCGAGCCGGGCTCGGCGGCGGCGGCGGCCTCGGCGGGCGGCTCCCGGGCGGCGGGCTCGGGCGAGGCGGCGGCGGAGGCGGCGGCGGCGGGCGGCTCCTCGCGCTCGGGCGCGGCGGCGGGCACGGCGGGCTCCTCCTGCTCGGCGGCCGGCGCGCTGCCGTTGGCCTGCGGCTCCTCCTTGGCGCCCGGCTCGGCGGCCGCGGGCGAGGCGTCGCCGTTGACCTTCACGTGGCCGTTCTCCTGCGGGCACAGAAAGTGGGCGTCACTCGGGCCGGGCCCCCGCAGCGAGGACGGGCGCGCGGGGGTCCCGGGCGCAGGGCCGGGCGTCGGGGCGGCGAGGCCGGAGAGGGGCAGAGGGATCGGGCCAGTCCTCGCCTCGCGGGCTCCGCGGAGGGCGCCCTGGCCCGCAGCACGCGGGGAGCTGGGCTCTGCGCGCAGGGCTCGCGCCCCACAGCCGCCTAGAAGCCCACCGAGCTCGGCCCCAAGCCCAGCGCCGCAAGCTTCGCCCTTGGCGGCCGGCAGGGGGCGCTGCGCCTCCACCGCGCCTAGTGCCCGGGGCACAGGGGGCCAGGAGGAAGGAGGGGAGGGGCCGCCCCCCGCCCAGCCCAGCCGGGCCCTGCCCGCAGGCCGCGGCGCCCCCGAGCCCGCAAACAAAGCTCAGGTGGTGTCCTGGCCTTCAGACTGGGCCGAGAGCCTCAGGCCTGGCGAGCCGCGTTTCAGAGCTCGCGCCTCTGCTTCCACGTCCACCTTCGCCCGAAATTCTGCAAGGCCAGGGCGCGCCGGGGCAGTTTATTTTGCATTTTTAACGGGTTTAAAGCCTCTTGGCAGAGCTCGTCTCTCTCCAGCAGGCTGGAACCGTAGAAGCAGCGCGGCTTCTGCTCTAGGAAAAGAGGCGTGGTGGGCGCCCAGTGTTTGGGAGGCGGCCACCCATGGCCGACCTCCCGTGCCCATCCAGCCTGGGCCTTCGGCCTGGGTCCCAGTGGCTCACGCGCAATCCTGGCCGACACGCGGAAGCTGCTTCCTCGCTACCATCAGGGGAGCTTCTTTAGCGACCCCCGAATGTTCCCACCCCAGGGATACCATTTAAGTCAGGGAGTTGTGCGTTTCCACAGACAGCTGGAACACAAAGATTCAGGGCAGCGGGGAAGCCCCATCAGAAAGCACCGAAAGCCTCCTGTGCGGCTGTAACCTCTCCAAAAGCGCAGGGCGCGCCGCCTGGGCGCACCGTCCACAACAAGGCAGCCCTGCCCTCCTCGCCGTCAGCGCCAGCCCGGCTTGCACCCCTCGCGTGCACACACGCCACGCGCGCGCGATCACACTAGCTCGCTAATCTCGAAGACGACCCAGGCTCAAAGCCCAAGCCGAGCTCCCCACTGGCGCCACGGCCCCCCAAACACAAACGCAACCCAGCCCGAGGAGGGGCTCCTCGCCAGTCATGTTCTGCCCCCTCTCCAAGCCACGCCATTTTAGACGATAAATCTCTCTCTCTTTTCCCGGCCAAGCCAGCACTCGCCGGGGTTCTCGGAGACCACGCGTGGGGTGGGAACACCCTCTTGGGGATCAGCGACGACTGGGGATCGCCTTTTGCATCCAACTTTCCAACGGCAGTCCGGCCGCGCTCCTCTCCACCGGGTGCGCCCGGGCGCGACCAGAGGGACAGGGGGCGCGGAGACGAGAGGGCCAGAACCCTAGGTGGAATTTACCTGCCCATTCGCTTTGGAAGGCGACGAGGCCACGGCCGCCTCCCCGGGCCTCTCTGCGGCGGCTTCTCCCTTCGTGGCGGTCTTGGAAAACTGGGCGCCCATGCTGGCCTCTTCAACAAAGAAACTCAACAGATTCAAGAGCGGAGACAAAGAGCTCGGGTCGGTGTAAGGACCGGGCGAGCGGTGGCGGTGGTGGCGACGGCAGCGGCAGCGGCACACACACCGGAGGGAGGGGGTGGGGTGTCGAGGAGAACAGAACAGAACCGATTAAATACACTCCGGTAAAAAGGGTTTAGTCGAAGCGATCAAAAAGCAGCAGCGCAGGAGGGAGGGAAAAAGGTGGAGAAGTCGAGCGCAAAAAAAGGAGCCCAAGTGTAGTTTAAAAAAAAAAAGAAGTAATAAAAAATCCTAGATTTGTAGCCGCACTGTAGACAAGAGGAAAATGGAGAAATCTCCCTGGTTGCTAATAAGATGCGGGGTCCAACGCCCAAGTGCACAGATGAATGGGCTCTCGGGCGCTGACGCGGCCCCCGCGCACGCCGGCCAATCCGCGCGCGGCACACAAAGCAGGGGGCGGGGCCTGCGCGCCCGACGAACAATGGAGCCGCGCTTTGCAAACGGTTTGAAAAATCCGTCTCGGGCCGAGAATTAATATCCTCCAAATAAATAAATCAATTAAAAATACATGCCTCTCGTCCCCTTCTGCCTGAAAACCATCCTGCTTCTCTTGTTTGACTCTTGCTTTGTTTGGAATTAATTAACGCGGGAGGGGGGTGTCCAGTGGATAGGGGCGGAGAAAGCCTTAACTTGACTCGCTTTGACTCCGGTCTGTCTGTATCCGCGTCTGTCTCCTCCCCTCCCCCACCCCCCGTGTGTTTACGCGCGTGTAAGCGTGTGTGTATGTGTGTGTGCGCGCGTGAGTGTTACAGACAATGGGTAGCATTGGGGTTGGCTGTAGCCTGCTTTCCTCTCCGCGTTCCATATGGGATTCACAGCGCGCAGGGCTTGCTGGCTTGCTTTTTTTAAACTGCTGCAATTGCTAAATCTTCCCACATTGAAAGGTATTTAAACCACGAAGATCAAATTTCATCAAACCAGATCGCGAGTTGGAATTAGGTCTGTAGGCCAGATGTGGAAAATGCAAAAGCAGCACACAGCCGGAGCCCACTCCCTCCCCTCTCCCACACTGGCTTGAAATAAAATATGTTGAGATTGGCCTTCGTAGCTCATGAAAGTCTTCCTCTCCGGTTATTTATTCCCAATTTGTGATTCCTTTTCATACATAAAACGAGGGCCTTTTTACCGAAGATCGAAACTGCTGGCGCTTTATCACTGCGAATGACAATTTTCTTCTGTGCTGAGACACAGCCTCGAGAGTAGGAGTCCACGTCTACAGTTTGGGTGCTCCTTTTCGCGTCCACGCGGATCATTTTCAGCTTCCTGCCAGCCTCGGAGGGACTTTGTTTTGGAGCGTGTGTGCGTGTGTGAGCCCCTGCAGGGCCGGGAGGTGGGCGGCGGCAGTGGGACTCTACACAACCCGGTTACAGCTCAAAGAAGAAACCGCCTTGGTGCGGAGAGGCAGCGGGAGGCTCCCTGGACGCTCCAGTGCCCCTCTGGCCGGGGAAAGCTTCCGTGGCGGTGTAAACAGGCTCCCTCCCTCGGCCACGGCAGCCCTGTCACCAGCGCAGCCGCTGCTGGGGTGTGGAGGCTTTGATTGAACGTGTCTGGAGGGGGCGTCCAGGATACAGCCCAGCAAGTCATTCCTCTACCACACACATTATGGAGGAAGAAAAAAATATAAAACCCAACAAGCCATCTTTTCTCGTTTACATTTAGTGATCCTGCCATGTGAACGCTCTTTCCCTTTTGGACGTGAGAGGCAGTCGAGGGAATGGTTCATTTCTCTTGGTTCTGGCTCTGAATTCTCAGTTTTTTTTTTTTTTTAAATTTTCTGCTCATTGTAGGGAAATAGGTCACACTCTGAGTGAAAAAGACAGGTGGTTCCAGCCAATAACTCTTTGTTCAAGGGTTGTTTTGCAAATCACCGAGCTGAACATCGTTACATGAAGCGTCATCTCCTCCCTGTCCAGTTCCTTCGGATGCATTGTTCAGTCGCGAGGTCATATTCCGAATACACGGCAGATGGAAGGACGTGTTCGCAGAAACGCATCTTGCCAACAAACGTGCTATCAGTGCTCTTAAGGGAGCCCGCTGGCCCGGCCCAAGACCCCGGGCGCCAGGATGGATGCGATCCCCCGTCCTAGGAGAGTTCCAGCTCCAACAGCCAACTGGGCTGGTCCAGCACCACCATCCGGGAGGTTCCTAAAGGCTCATTTAAGGATCCTGCTTCCCCCCGCCCTCAAAGTGAATCGTGCCCCTTCCTCTGCACCCCCCTATCGGTTTTAAATTGGGGTGATTGCTAGCTCGCTTTCGAATTTTCTCCCAGACGCGTCCTTAGCCTCTATTTGGGGGCTGCCTTTATTGCTCCTTTGTTATCAGGCTGCAGGGTAGGTTTTCCCCCTTTTCTCTCCGGAACGCCTATTTGCCTAGTGTCGAGTCGTCTCCCGGGCAACGGCCAGAGAAGATTCGGAGCCGGGGGAGGGGAAGGGGCGGTGCCCAGCCGGGCGGGGGAGGGGGCGGAGGGGCGCGGGTCGCGGAGCAGATGGCTGCTCGGGGGTGGGGGTGGGGTGGGGGCGGGACGGGGCGTGGCTAGCCCGCGGGGCGGGGGGCTGCGGGGAGCCAATCAGGTCCCGCCGCGGCCGGGCGAGGAGGCGAGTGTAAACACTCGTGTCCCAGCAGTGAGCGGGCACGATTTCTGCGCGCCGTGCGCGCGCCTTTCCCGCGCGTTTGGGGAGCGGAGGGTCCCGGGATCTGGCGGGGCGCGCGGTGCGGGGAAACGCAGGGCACACCCAGCCCTGGGCCTGTCCCTGCACGGCGCCCGCTGCTCGTTCCAGCTGCCCGGGAGGAAGGAGGTGAAGGTGGAGCGTGGGCGCGGAAGGGCGCGCTGGGACCCAGGCAAAGCAGCTCATCTTTGGGAAGGATCGCCCCGGAGACTGGCGGGGCGTGGGGCAGCCCAGACCTCCTCTGGGGTCTGGTGTCGTCCTGGCGGAGTTCAGGGTGTCAAATGCAGCGCCGAAGGCGTTTCTATAAATACAGTAAAAATACAAACGCTAACAAAACCCTTAAAGGTCGTGGTGAAAGTGTAAAGCCGTCGTTTGAACCAACTCACCAGGAGCAAACAGGCCTTTAGCCTTCCCTGCTATTCCCCCAGAGTATTGCTAACCTCAAGATAATGTGTATATGGTTTTCTTTCGAGAAAAGAACTATTTACGTAGATCTCGGTGGTTTTCCTTAAAATGCAAAGACTTGCATTTTTAGAGCTCAAGCCACAGACTGGGGAGTCTACCTTGTACCAAGTGTGAGCCTGCAGATCTAGGGGCCATTTTCACACCAGTGAGGCAGGCTGGCTCATCAGGCTCCCTAAGATCTCAGGCGCTAGACGCAGGAATTCGGCTCCCTCTCTTGATGATTCTGAGACCTAAGTTCTTCCGAGGAGCCCCAGCCTGGCCTGTGAAGGCAGGGATACCCTCAGCAGATCATCGGCTCTTTATTTTCTCTCTCCGGGTGCGGGTAAGAGGACTTGGGCATCTCTTAGTACCAGGAAGGGCTATGGGTGTGTCCTTTGTATTAAATATTTTCTTAAAGTATGAGGAAAGAGAGTGAAAGTCAAGATTAACTATGTTTTGAGAAAAATATAGAGGGCCACTTCCTAGATCCAGATTGAAAATGCCTCTTTCCTGGAAAGCATTCATGCAACCTTCACAATATATGGGATGCTGCTGATTCTCCGTTCTTTATCTCAGTGTAGAGATTTTGTGAGATGATCTTTAATTCCGCAGAAAATGATTACCTCAGAGTAGTGGAAGCTCCACAAACTCCACCCCTCATTTATTCAACCAATATTTATTGGATTCTAATCATGCGCTGGGGGATGTATCAAAGAGCAAAACAGACAAGAAATCTTTATGCGTTATACGTGTTAGAATGGGGAGGAAAACACCAGTTAATAAATAAAAGGACATAAGCGAGTTGAGCTATTAGAAATCTGTGAGTGTTAGGAGAGAAAAAAAGTGAGAAATTGTTTACTAGTCAGAAAAGACTTCCCTGAGGAGATAAACTCTGAGCAGACTTGAAGAGCCAGGGAATGAATGTGAGAAGCCCACTCTAGGGCTTTTTAGTAGCAAGAAAGGGAGAAAAAATAAGGAATAGAAATGTAATTTTATGCGGTGGTTGTATGTACTTTTTAGGGCAACTACAGTGGGGTGCTATAAGGTAATGTAATTTGATTAGGAATGTTAAATCCTCTTCAAAGGAGTGGCCTCTGCCTGGAAGGCCCGAGAATGAGTAGACATTCACAGCACCCTGGAGAAGGAGAGACAGACTAGGGTTGGAGAGGAATACCAGAACAATTTGGACTTGTTTTCCAGTGTAAGACATCCTAGGAGAAAAGTCAAGTGCACAAATACATGTAAGTCTGGAGTTCAAAGAGGTTTGCATGTAACTGTGAATTTGTGGTCTTACATACTGAAGTGTTTTCAGAAGGCACGGGAATATGCCAAAGGTCAGGATCATGCAAAACACAGTAGGATCCAGGATCAGTCTGTGTAACTTCTGCTTTAAGAGAATGGGCCAAGGAGGAACAGAGAAGGCTGAAAAGGAATTCTTCAGGAGTGGACAGGAGTGGATGGGAAGATCGGTGGAGATGGATTCAAGGGGTGCTCAGTGTTTTCCAATGCTTTTGAGTGTAAAAAAAAGATTAACAATATAAATAAACAAATGTTATTGAGCAGTCAAACAGAATAAAGATTGGAAAGTTTCCGCCTTGCATGTTTAGTACTAAATTACGGGCCACAGGCTTTCCAGCAGATTGTATAATATATCGGAAGTGGAAATACCTTTAGAACTTACTGTGCTGAGTAAATGCAGGAAAGTCTCCTTTTATTCTGTCTTTCCTTCTGTGTTTTCATTCTGTTTTTGAGGTACTGGGAATTGAATGGAGGCCTTCAAAGTGAACTGATTCCCCACCTGCCTTTGAGACAGGATTCGGCTGAATTGCTAAATTACCCAGGCTGAGCTTGGGCCTCTGAGCACCCTGAGGCTACAGAGAGGCAGCACCATGGCCCGCTGGGGTCATCTGCCTCGTGAAGACGGACTGAGTAAGGGATTTGGAGAGACAGGACTGGAGCAGGAGAGAGCTGGCATTGTACAGTACGATTATTATCTCGAATGGTGGACACTACAGAAAGTTTGGCTGATCTAGTATTCAATCCATAAGAAAGGAAAACGCTGATATAAGAAACAAAAAGAGTAGAGAAGGGAATGAAGTCCTGGAGAAAGAAGGAGAAATTGGCTTGTGAGGGAGAGGTGTCTTCTTTCCTAAAATGGGGACAGAAGAGCATGGCCGCGGGTTTGCTGGAGGGAAGATGAGAGAGAAAATTCCCTGCTGATGGTTTCCTGGAGAATTGGAGTTCCCTAGTATAGAAAGTGTGGGGAGTAGGTAAGGATGGGGGCTCCAAGGCTCGATGAGATTTTATAGCAACAATCAGCTTGATAAACCTCATTTCAGCTTGATAAACCTCAGTGCTGTGTGACCAGTGTCAGTTTCTCTCATTTGCAAACATTTGACCGAGTAGTAGAGGCCATCGCAATGCTTTTTTTAAAGACTGCTATTCATTCTCCCTCTCAGCCTCTACCCAATTTATATTTCAGCTATACAGTAATCATGATACAAAAGATAGCAGTGCAGTGATGAAGCTCGATCTCAGCTATTTCTATGTGACTTCATATAGATACATCTAGGAGGGAGGAGAAGCCTGGATCTCAGGCTCTGCACCGGCTAAGTCTTGATAGGCTCCTGTTTAACCCTTATGATGCCTCCTTGGATTTATATCATTGTTCTCATCTTACATATTCAGAAGTTGATTTTTTTTTTTTTGTGGTCTTTTTCATTTTTATCGGTGCCAGGGATCGAACTCACGACTGCCTGCTTGCAAGGCAGGCGCTTATGCTGCTGAGCTAAATCCCCAGCCCCCAGAAGTTGATGTTTAAGCAGATTAGGAAAGTAAAGTTCAACAGTATTAGCCATTTTCATTGATGGTTACAGTATCTGGCTGCTATTGTTCCTTATTAAGAATCTAATAAAAGCTCGAATGATAGTAACAAACATAGAACCTTATATGTAAAACTTTTATTTATGTATTTTTTTGGTAGTGGGAATTGAACTCAGGACCTTGCACTTGCTAGCTATATTCCCAGCCCTTAAATTTTACATTGGATAATAAAACTGCAACTTCTTTGAGATTTTGCTTTTGTGTACTTTAATTAGTCTACTTTATCAGTGTACTACCTAGTCACACTCATACAGATTCCTTCATAATTAGGTGTCATAATTAGGAGGTGTCAGAGTCGCTGCTTATCTGACCTGACCTGAAGAATCAAGCACTAACAGACCGACAACAGGGGTGAAGACAATGTTCAGCTCTTTCCAGATACTATGAGAATCATTACACCACCACTGTAAACTCACGCTGAGGCTTGTCCGTCAGGCATGCTAATTGAATTTACAAGATGTTTGTATTTGAAATAAAATAAAAATTTAGAATATACTCCAGAGATAGGCAAACAAAAGGCAGAAAATAATTTAAAAATTTCCTCCAGAAATTTAGAGTCATAGCTTCTCCATAGAAGTATTTCTCAGAATTTTCAATATTTGCCCGCTAAGGACAGACTAAAAACTTTCCATATAAACTTTTGGAACAAGGGAACTGGGGAAGGGTGAGCAGCAAAATTTCCTTCTCAGCTTCATTCTCAGCAATAATGGGTGGGTGAGTAGATCAAAGAAATATTTTACTTCCTTCCTTAGATAGAGTCCCAGGTATTTCTTTTTTCTTTATTCTTTCTTTCTTTCTTTCTTTCATTTTTTTTTTTTTTGGCTGTTATGGTGAAAGCTGTGGTTTCCCTAATTTCTCATCTCAGTGAGATTATTATTATTTTTGTACAGAAATGCTATTAATTTTTTTTTTCCAGTACCAGGGATGTAACTCACAACCTCACATTTGCCAGGCAGATGCTTGTGCCGCTGAACTAAATCCCTGGCCCTTGCTATTGAGTTTTGAGTGTTGACTTTGTATCCAGCTATGCTCTGGTTTTAAACCAAGAAACCTTTGGGTGGAGTTTTTGGAGTCCTCTATGGAGAGTATCATGGCATCCACAAAAAATAATCATTGAACTCTGAAAACTACAACACTCTGAAAAAGGAGATCGAAGAAGGATATCAGAAAATGGAAAAATATCCCTTGTTCTTGGGTAAGAAGAACTAATAGAGTGGAAATGATCATCCCTCCAAACTTACTAAACAGATTTAATATTCAGCTCTTTGATCCATTTCAATTTTAGTTTAG